TGGATTATGAGAAAAAAGATCTTTTTTGTTAAACACACATTCTACTAGTTTTACTTTTTGCTTCTTGCTATACATGGTTGGATTATGAGAAAAAAATAGATCTTTTTGGTTAAACACGCATTACTAGATTTCCCATTTGCTTCTTGCTGTACATGGTGGATTATGAGAAAAAAGAGATATTTTTTGGTTAAACACACATTTTACTAGATTTCCCATTCGGTTCTTGCTATGCATGGTTGGATTGTGAGAAAAAAGAGATTTTTTTGGTTAAACACATATTTTACTAGATTTCCCATTCGGTTCTTGCTATACATGGTTGGATTATAAGAAAAAAATATATCTTTTCCGTTGAACACCCATTACTAGATTCCCATTTGCTACTTAGTATACATGGTTATGACCAAAAAGAGATCTTTTTGGTGGAACACACATTACTAGATTTCCCATTTTGCTTCTTGCTATACATGGTTGGATTATGAGAAAAAAAGAGATCTTTTTTGGTTAAACACATTACTAGATTTCCCGTTCGGTTCTTGCTCTACATGGTTGGATTATGAGAAAAAGATTTATTTTTTTAGGTTAAACACATTTTACTAGATTTCCCATTTGCTTCTTGCTACACATGGCTAGATTATGAGAAAAAGAGATCTTTTTGGCATTCAAGATCTGGAACTGTAACAGTAAAAGAATGATGATATAACCAAGATTTTGACACTTTTATTAGGTCAGTCACCATCCAATGATTGTTGCATGCCACTGTGAGGGCAGAGGCTGGAAATTCTGGGCAGATTCGAACCTCAAGGGCAAGTTTTGGGGCCGTTCTATTCAGCTCGATCCTGTGGGTGTCCTTACCCTACAGTTTGAGGATGGCGAAACATTTCAATGGAGCAAGGTCACTACTTCCATATACAACATCATTCTTGGAAAAATCTATTGCGATCACTATGGTACTATGCGTATAAAGGGTAGTGGCAATTACTCTTGCAAACTCAAGTTCAAGGAGCAGTCGATTATAGACAGAAATCCACATCAGGTAACAAAATTGTCGAAAAGATTTGTAATAATATCTTTTTGCAACGCTTGCCTACCATCTTGTTTTCCAAAATTAGAGTTGCTACGGGCGAGACGTCCTGCTAGACCCGTCCTGTTCGGCCCTCTAGAAAACGGGCTTGGATTACCATTCTCGAAGAAATGGGAGAAATAGGAGGGCCTGGACTGACTTGTTAAAATTAATGGGCGGGCATGGGGGATGAAAAAACTGGGTAGGCCCGCCCGGCCTCTTAATATTCTTATAGTAATTAACTTCTATAATTAAAACTTATAAATAAAATTGAAAATACTTGATGCTTATCAATTTCCACTTAATCATCACTCATGATAATAACACTCTTTAAAATCTAAAAAGTAAAAACATAATTACCTCAATTGATCAATTCTTTATTATCTCATTTGGTCATTTCCTTTATCGATCATCCATATTTGCAAAACAATTTTTTTCTAAATTATGTACATTGTTATAGAGTTGCGTCTATTTTTAAGTTGATTTTTTTATATATTTTGAATTATTTTACATAACTTGTGATTTTACTTTAGTTTTATTTTCTAAAAAATATAAAAAGATTTTTAGGCCCGTTACCCTGTGGGCAAGCCCCGCCTGTTTATAGGGCGGGTAAGGGCAAGTTTTTAAGCCTGTAAAAAAGGGCATGGGTTTGCATATTAGACCCATTGGACAAGAAAAATAGGTTAGGCCCGACCCAAACCCGCAAATGATTAGATCAAACCATCTCATTATCCAAAATGCAGGTTCATGGATTTGTGCACGATAACAGAACGGGAGAAAAGGTTGCAATGTTGATGGGAAAGTGGGATGAGGCTATGTATTATGTTTTGGGAGATCCAACAACAAAACCGAAAGGGTATGATCCCATGACGGAAGCGGTGTTGCTATGGGAAAGAGATAAGTCTACTACTAAAACACGATACAATTTCACACCATTTGCAATATCTTTGAACGAAATAACTCCTGGTTTAAGGGAGAAACTTCCTCCAACTGACTCGAGGCTTAGACCAGACCAGCGGCATTTGGAGAATGGCGAATGTGAACTGGCGAATGCAGAGAAACTCAGACTAGAGCAATTACAGAGACAGGTAACTCATTTACTTTGCGATCACAAGGACTATTTGATACCTGTAGGTTCTTGAACTCTTATAGAAAGCTATATATATATATATATATATATATATATATATATATAGAGGAGTGATCATATGAAAACCGCCCTCATTTGTGTAAACCGTGCAAACCACCTTCATCTGTCGATTTCATTGTTTAATCTTATGAAATTTTTTCATGAAATTGTTTAATCTTGTGAAATTGTTTCATATAATACTTTTTTTGATGAAGTTGTTTCATATATGGTTGTGAAATTGTTTCATATAATATTTAATGAAACTGTTTCATGTATTTCTCTAACATTAATGAAACTGTTTCATGTATTTCTCTAAAATTAAAATTATGAAGATGATAATATTTATGATTAACACCCTCCACAATAAAAATGATTAATCAACCTCTCATAATTACAAAAAAATGAACAAAATGAAAAATTATGATTGGTTGAATGCGGTTTGTACGGTTTGTACAAATTGAATGGTTTGCATTTGATCGCTCCCCTATATAGATATATATGTATATATATATATATATATAGAGAGAGAGAGAGAGGGAGGTTCAGGGAAAACAAAAAGAAACTAAAAAACTGAGGAACACCTTGGTAATTGAAGTTGTTTTTTGGATTTTATGCATGTGTGCATAACAAATTACTTAGAAATTGCTTGTATGCACATGTGCATACAGTGCAGATGAACAGTTACTAGCGTTCCTCACTTTTTTACTTTTTTGCAGTTTCCTCCTGAACCTGACCCTATATAAAGGGAGGTAGGTTCAGGAGAAAACCCAAACAAAAATTGAAAAACTGAGGAACATCTTGTAACCGTCGGATGCACATGTGCATATACAAGTAAATTGCAAGCAATTTGTCCGGTATGCACGTGTACATACTAACCAAGAAACAGTTTCAATTACTTGTATGCACATGTGCATTTCATACAGATGAATGGTTATTAGGGTGTTCCTCATTTTTTTGGAGGTTCTCACCTGAATCTCTCTCTCTATACGGTTTTTGAACTGGAGACTGATTTGGGATGGGTGTGAACGATAGGCAAGAAAACTGCAAGAACGAGGGTGGCGACCACGGTGGTTCGAAAAGGACGAAGATGGTTGTTTTCATTATGTGGGTGGATACTGGGAAACAAGAGAGAAGAAAGCTTGGGATGGGATTCCAGATATATTTGGGCAGAGTGTTGAGTGTGCAGCAGGGGGAGGAGGAGGAGATTTGGCATAATAGCAGGTGATATGCTTAGTTTTCTTTCATGACTTTTAGTGTTTGAATTCAGGCTGCATGCTACTACCAAATATCTATATCTATATCTATATCTATATATATAAGTAATTTCTATAAAAGAAATAAAAGGAAATTCATCATGGAAAACTAGGTTGGTTAGCATCTGTTTCTCCTGCAGCTTGTTTCTGGTTTGACTTTGTTTATTATTTATTAGTGAGTTGCACATTGGGCCTGACTCCTATGGTTAAATGGGACCAGCCTAGCTCGGGTTTGGGCCTGACGGTCTATAACTGGTTACGACTTTTAGGAAATTTCCTGGTCCAGGATTGGGACCGGTTATGCGTAGACCCAATTTTTTTCTAAAAATTAAGTTTGTATATATATATATATATATTTAAACCACCCTCATTAAGTTTATATATATCAAGTTTTTCAAATTTTTAACAAGATTTTGAAGTTCTTTTACCAAAAAATTCAAGTTTTTTGTAAAGATTGTAACCATAAAAACATCTATAACATTTTTGGGTCAGTTTGGGCCTGGTCCGGGACCAGGAATGGTTACAAAATATGAAGACTGGGCCTTGGTATTTTGGTCAGGGTCGGTTACGAAAAGACTAATCGGGACCGAGACTAATTTTTTGGTCATATATACTCATGGGAACTGGTTTATAAAAGGACTGGTCCTTTAGAACCTGGTTCAGGCCTTTGGGCTTGGATCTTTCAAAGATGAAAGTTGGACTTGGAAGCATGACAAGGGGCCATTTACTAAACGCTTATCTACTAAATATTTATTGGGTCATTTATCCTAACGGATTGATATGTGAAGAATCAAGAATTTTACTCGGAAAGTAGATGACATAGACCGAGAGTCCTATCGATTAATTCTTACGGGGTAGATTGTTGCATGTGATGGACTAGAATCTTACTCGGTAAGGTAAGCGATGGTGTTGAATTCTTATCGTTAAGCGCTTATTGGGTAAGCATATGGGTACATGGCCTTAGAGATGGCCAAAAACCGGTCCCGGGCCGGTCCCAATCGGTCCTCACATTTCTCATAACCGGCCATAACCGGTCCCGGCCTCGGTCCCGGTCCCGGTCGAAAATAATAGGACCGGTATAGGTACTCTATAACCGGTTATGGGCCGCCGGTCCCGGTCCCGGTCCCAACCGGTCCCAATCGGTCCTTCATTAAAAAAATAAGATTTTTTTTTTGATTTTTTTAATGATATATATTKTTAATACATTATAAAATTTACAATTGGGTCACTCAAATACACTTTAAAAATGCGTTTTAATATAATTAAAATTACGTTTTCTTATAAAAATACATTATAAAATTATTTAAAAATACATTTATTTATAATATTATTTGAATTTTCGGGCCGGGCCGGTCCATAGTCGGTCCTATAACCGGTCCCGGTCCCGGTCCCACGAAACTACCAAAAACCTTAACCGGTCCCGGTTTTCGGTCCCATAACCGGTCCTTACCGGTCCCGGTCCCGGGCCGGTCCTTTGTCGGTCCCGGTCCCGGTCCCGGGCCGGTCCTTTGTCGGTCCCGGTCCCGGTCCTCCGGCGGTCCCGGGCCGGGCCGGGCCCATTTGGCCATCTCTACATGGCCTGTAACTAACGTCTTTTTCACTTCTTTTTTACAAAGGAAAATGGGAGAAATGGAAGGAAATGAGAGGGGAGGGGGGAAGAAGCGTGTTTTCAAGTTTTTCTTGAGAGAAAGGAAAGAAAATAACGTTGATTTTCCTTCCAAATATAGTCCGAAAGGAGAAGGGAAAAAATGTAAATAAATAATATAATTTATAAAATTATACATCTATCCATTAATTACAATCAATTGCAAGTAAATAAGAGTATATTTGTAAAAATGACATTTTTTTCTCTCTTGCTCAAAAAGAGAACATGAAAATTGCATTTTCGTCCCCGTGCTTTTTAATTAGTAGTCTCAACTGTATAATTTATTATTGTTTACGTCCCTATGATTTACAATCTTCTGGTATTTTCATTTCTCATACTTAAGGATCGAAGTTAGTTTGAGAAACGTAAAACAAAATTTCAAAACCACAAAAGTAAAAGTCACAATATTTTAAGAAACTGTAGAATGTAATTTGCTCAAACAAAATTTCAAAACCACAAAAGTAAAAGTTATGTGTTTATTTGCAGCTTAATAATCAAGAACATTACAGCATCTCCAACATATTTTATATATATATTTTTTTTAAAATAGGAAACCAGAAGTTAAAATCTTTAATAAAAATATTACTTTCAACTCCAACATATTCTTTATTTTACACGTTTCAATATTAACTGTATTATTAAAATATTCTATAATTTTACCCTCTCAATATATTTTTTTAAAAGGTTTTATAAAATAATAGTAATTTAATCTGATTATTGGGAATGAGTAAAAAAATCTCTATCTTTACATTAAGTTTTAAAGAATTTTCTAAACTTGAAGATTTCTCTTGTTTTCTTTATTTTGAAAAACAATACAAAATATCTTTTAGAGCAAAATAAAAGGCAAAATCAACGGTTATCATTTAACGTATTAATGAACATATTTTTGTTTCACAATGTGTTTTGCTTTATGTTTATACGGTTTATGATGTGAAACTTTTTTATTTACATTTGTTTCACAAACAGACTAAAAATGTTCATAAAACAAATATATGTTAATTAATATTTTTAAAATCCTAGTTTTAGTTGAAAAAAAAACATATAAAATAACACATGATACATTGTTTTCTTAAAAGTTATCACATTTTTATAGGTTTATTGATTTAAAAGATTTTAATGGGGACTACATCAGTATTTTATTACAAAATCAGTACTTAATTACTATCTTTATTTCACAATTAAATAAAAAAAATTGCAAAAATCTAACTATTATTGATACTTTTTTATTTAAATAATCACACAAATTTAATAAAAAAAATTAATCATTTTTTTTATAGAATTTGATCAAATACCTTCTACTTCCTCATTGCCATGGGATTGTTAAAGTTTTTTAGCCCTATTTAACCCTTCTAAATTTTTACAAATCTTGATACAGTTTTGTCTCTGTCATACATTATTCAGTAATTTTTTTCAAACAAAAACGAAAATCAGATGAGTCGGTACACCCATATCTAGACCAGTTGAAAATTAAGTACATAAGACCACGTTGGGTCTAATAAACTATTATTGACCATCATTGAATACAGTGTTGGTCTCATTTTCAATTTGCTAGAAACCATAACATAGATTCCAATTATAAAAAACCAACCCATGAACCCCTTTTTCCCCATTACCCACGCACCCACACGTACGTCGAAAACCCAGTTCTCGATGCAGACCTAGAGACACAAATGGTGCACTACTTGGTATGGGTGCAACCATAATGGCATGAGTCCTTGTTACAAGGACAAACAAAGAAGGATGGTCTTATGGAACCAATGTCTCTAATTATGGTAATATGTATTAAAAACTTGTGTTTATATAATATATACAACATCTATATTCTCTGTATCTGAGTGTCGGTTTCAAGTTCCATGCTTTGTGTTTAAATGGATGGTACTGTATGTTGCATAGCTGTAATATGGAATAAGACAGTATAACTGCAAGGCTAAAAGTTTGTAAGACGACATCACTATCATTTGAGAAAAAAGATTCTCAAAATATTGTAGAAGCGTTTGTTTCTCTGTACAAAAATAAAATGGAAAATTATGCAATCTATTGCCATATTTTTTATATAAGAAATTGTATATCCCAACACTTGAATGATTAAACTTGTAAAATTCAGATAATTAATCAAGTTTTTTTTTACAAAATAGTTTCATAAACATTAAGAGGCTGTTTGGTTCATGTTGGGGAATGAAAATGATAGGGAATGAAAACAAGATGAATTTTCATTTCCTTCATTTTATTCTGGAATGAAAATTTGGGCTTCTGAGAGAATGAGCCATTATATTATACTAGAAGGGTATTTGCACAATACAACGAGATACATCTTAATTTTAATGTTTCATTTTTTCTTTTGTCCCACTCGATGTTATAATATAGTTTCATATAGTTTTTAGAAAGCGATAACATTTTTATTTTTGAATAACATATAAATATGAAGATATCATAAAGAAATGAAAAAGAATATATTAATATTAGTACCAAACTAACTACTTAAATTTTTTTTTTTTTGTATTTCTTTAATTCATTTTGTATTTTTGGTATAATAGTATTTTTTTTATAAAGATAATAATTAATATTTTGTTAAATTCAATGATTATTCTAATTATATTTAGACTTTTACATCTAAAATGGATGTTTATCCTATAAATTATGTTTATCTGCAGTTAGTTACACGAATTCAAACATGAAACTTTAATAAGTTGTACTTACGCATAATTTACTTGTAATCTTGAATTTTAAGTAATATGCATCAACAATGCAAAAAAATGGGTTTTAAAAGTTTTTGTCAAATGCTTTATGATATAGTATAGATAATACCAAATAGTTTCTTTTAGTATTCTCATTGACTATTACTTAATACCTCTAACCAAACACCCCCTAAAACAAAAAACCAAGCTCATAATTCATAAAAATAAAATAAAAATTATAAGTTGTTTTTTTTTTTTTTTTTTTTGTAGAAGATATAAGCATTTGACAACATTGTCTTATCCAATTCTTTTCGACACCATCAGGGAAGATCAACCCGTTATCCCTAAAGTAACTTTTATCCAGCGAGCCTCTCTCCAAGACAGTGCCCAAATCATTACGCCTTTTGTCATAACAGTATAAAACAAAACATTATACATATTAACGAGGGATCATATTCGATAAAGGTAAATGTACGTTTTCTACTGAACGTAATATATAACGAGGTAATATCTGTAAAAATTAAATCAGTTATATAATTTAAAAAATATATACATAGAAATAGTTCCATTTTATGTGTTGGAAGGTAACATAGGAAAAGGGGTTTTGTTGGCAAAAAGACATCCCTTTCACAAACTTTTTATTGGGCATAAAAAAGGGGCTTTTAAATTTGATGCAATTACTTTTACTTATTTACAACATACTGATTGAAAGGGGAGGACCCAAGATCATGTGTAAATCAATTAGGGAACACAGACCAT